GTTGATGGTTGATATTTATCTTGAATTTCCATTACTTCCCTTATTTTTCACAATAAGAATGAAATACTGAGAAAATGGGATTTGAAATAATAACTGTCCAAGATACTTATCTTAGGACAGAATTCTTTGGTCAAATGGCCCCATAACATTACACTATTTTTCCATTCCCTTTTTTGGGAGCTTAATTAGATTGGAACTGAAATGACCCTGAATGTGCAGTTGTTTCTCTCTCACCAGTGCAGTTGGGTTTGTTTGGATTGTAAGGAATCCACAAAGAATAAAATAAAATTCACTACTTCATTTTAAGAGAGTAGCAACAAAGATTCCTGTTTGATACCAATGACATTACATTCACACACACACATACATATATACACACACAGACATTCATTCATTGATTTCAATGCCATTGCTCTGTGCTCTTTTGAAGTAGGTGATATAACTAGTCCTAATTTTCAAGAGAGGCTAACCAACTTCTCCAAGGTCAAATAATTAGGAGTTGAACCCATGCACTTCTGAGCAAGAATCTAGGTGATACCCCAGAATGTAGTATTTTTAAAGTTCCCTCCCAGGTGATTATAATATGAATGTAGGGTTTAGAAATGCTGACAGAGTCAGATTCTAGATCAAAAATTGTCAGAAACAGGCAGGTAAAGTTATATTCAAGAAGCAGGTATAGGTTCCATACCCTTATTTCTAAAGGAGTGTTTGAGTCCTTTACCTACAAAGGAATCAATCTGGGAAAATTGTTAAAAATGTGTATCACTGAGTCTGAGACCCACAGAATCTTTGTTCAGTTTGCATCAAAATTAACTAGTTTTGTTTATTTTTTTTAAATTAAAATTTCTGAGTACCAGGTAACCACTTCTTTAAAAATCACCTTAGGTGATAATATATTCCAATATTCTAAGAGCTTGACTCTGGGTGCTCAAGTATTTTATTCATTCTAGGAATATTAATGAGCGCCTATTATATGCCAGGAATTTTTAGGCCCTGGGAAATAACAGTGTGCAAATAAGATTCCCTGTCTTCAGTGAGTAAATGCTGTTGTGGAAGGAAGACAGAGAGAAGGAATGTCAGATGGTAAGTGCAGTGGAGAAAAATAAGTGCGGGGGGTGGAGCATGATGGGGTAAGTGCTCTTTTGCATGGCCAAGTTTCTCTTGGTGTAGAACATATGAGAGAGTAAACAATAGACAATGGAATAGCTCAACCTTCTTGTGACAAAAGTAACAACATAAAAATACAAAGTCCTTGAAGGAGAGTTAGCCCATAAGCTGAAAAAAACAAGACTACCAGTGTTTGGAGAGGAGAGGAAAAAGTGATAATAAAAGATGCAGACAGGTAGCAAAGAACTGGATCACATTGCTGGATAAAGGCCATGGTAGGATGAAATACCTGGTAGTTTCACTCTGTTGTGGCATAGGGTGATTACACCTGAGGGAAAAAGGGGCACCCTATAAACTCCAAATACCACTGATCAGGCAATGTTACTTGAATTAAAAAAAAACAAACAACAACAACAAAAAAACCCAGTGGGAAATGACAGGGTCTGGTGAAGAGTGAACCATGATGGCTTTTCAAACGAAAGAGAAGACTCAAAGATGGCTAGATCTAACAATTGGACACTTAGCTTAGTCCATTTGGTATAGGTAAAAAACACTCCCAGCAAATTCCAAATTGGGCATGGAATCATTTCTGTTATTCGATAAGAGCAATTAAATCTGTTGCATTTTTCATTTGCAATTAGGTTTTGTTCAAAATCTATAGCATCCCTTAGGCTAGGATATTGAATTCTTTCTAACACTCATTCTTAACTTCATTTTTAACACTCACACTATTTCAAATATAAAACTTGTTTTACTTGTGAGGAAAGCAGTGCCTTCCATGAAGCACTGAGGTTGAAATACAGGAGCACGTATCTTCCAAATGACTGTGATTCATTACAACCCACATTCTTCCTGACATGACAAAATGGAATATGAGACTTTTATTTCATTACCTGCAACTAGAATAGGAAAAGGTAAGAAGTGCTAATTTTCTCCATGAAATTTATATCAGAGGGGAATATTTTTCCTGTGGTGATTCATTAATGCTTCTAACAATTCTTAAATATGCAGAGATATTTAAAACACTTTAAACTAATCATTAATAAAAACAAATCAAAAAAATGTGCCTTAGCTAAGAGCCAAAAGGTGACAAGGGAAAAATTTCACTGCTGTTTCTTCTACCTTCTGGGCTTACCTCCTTCCATTTTGGATCAAGTCTCTTGCATTTTAACATTACTATTAGTTCAGTAAACCCTAAATCCTCGTTTAGTGTTCTTAAAAAAATTACTTTGATTTTGAGATAAAAGTTTTGTGTATCTCCTAGTTACATGGTATAATAGCTTTTGTTATTTTGTTAAACACATGCTGCATATTCATGTGCAGTTTTGTTCAAAACCCACGGTCACTTAGGCTAGGGAAATAGGATTATTTTAATGTTCACTCCCCTATTTAACTGTTTTTTTTTTTTTTTAATATTTATTTATTTATTTATGGATACAGAACTGGGTACAGGTCAGAGGTGTAGGGATGGTGAGAGGATTCACCACACACAGAGCGGGGAGCAGACCAGGCAGATAGATGAAGTACACTGCTGAGGGGAGGAGCGAGAGGGTCAGGAGAGGTCTGCCACGCCATGTGGATCACCTCCGGGGCAGGAGGCGAACTCATGCGGAAGTGGCTTTAGCTTGTTAGTGCAGTGCTTTAACCCGCGGCGCCACTAGGGAGGGCCCGTATTTAACTGTTTTAATAACATTAACAAAAATGTGTTCCTCGTCTTTTATTGTAAGCCACTTTTCTGCATTCTTTATCTTAACATCCATTTCAGCTTGGTCATTGTAGAAAAAAATTACCAGTGATTCCAAAATTAAAGGACAAGTATTTTATTTGAAATCCTTAATAGGGAATGGGCATATAGTATTTTCTATCTAAGCAAGTAAAACCACAAGCATGCTTATTTACTGCAAGCTTTGTTTTTATCTGATAGCTATTACAGAAGCTTGTGGCAGAAAGTGATCTAAGAGGTAACCAAACTTCGCAAGAGACTTTAAATCCTAGGACTTTGGTTTTTTTTTTTAAGATTTTATTTATTCATACAGAACTGGGGTTCAGGCCAGAGATGCGGAAGGTGAGAGGATTCACCAGGAACAGAGTGGGCAGCAGAACAGGCAGATCGACGAAGCACACTGCTGAGGGGAGCAGCGGGCGGGTCAGGAGAGGTCTGCCACGCCCTGTGGTCACCTCCAGGGCAGGCTGGGATTGAACTCATGCGGAAGTGGCTTTAGCTTCTCAGTGCTGTGCTTTAACCCGCTGCACCACCAGGGGGGGCTGGACTTTGTCTTTTAAAGGAGGTCAAAAATCTGGGAATTGGTTGCAGACTGTTGAAGACAAAATGGCTTTATATCTGGGAGTTCATTTACAAAGAACGAAAAAAAACATTCTGAAGGGTTAGGAAAGAAGCCTCCATCAGAACATCGGGATTGTTTACGGTACTTGCGTTAGATACTATAGCAATACCTAGTGGGGTAGTTTACTAATCGATCATAAGGTTAAGATTTTTTAATAAACACATATTCCAAATCTTGATTAGATGAAAATAAGAATTTCAAACAAGATGAAAACATCTTTCTCTGGCAGTTGTAGACTAGATTATCTGGTAAATTCCAATATGTATAAAGTACCCTGGAAACTGAACTTAGAGCAAAGAATAAACGCAAGCACACCATACTATATACACATGAACACAGGCACATGCATGCATATACACCACACACACCAGTGGGGCTTGTGGACTAGATTTCAAGGGAAGAGCAAATAGACATCATTAAGATATTGATACAGTTTGAAATAGAGAAGTCTGAACTATCCATATTTCACCAATTAGCACAGGTGAAAGTGTTCCTCTCTCTATGCATTGATATGTTATTCTTATCTTTGTAATTGATGCCTTAATACTTCTCACCCCATAAAATGCAGTCCTAAATGGAAGGGTTATCTAGATCAATGTAAGATAATCATGACTTTGAAATCCTAAGTGATCTTGATTCTCCTAGCAACTTAAGTTATAATACTACAGAGAAAAGTAATACCTAGCATGATTGATTCATTTGCTGGCTGACACAGAAGACGTGATCTCACATATCTGAGCACATTGGCATGTTCTTGCTTAGGAGTTCTGATACTATTTACAGGTAATAGCAGGAAGCAGAAAAGGTCACCATGACTGGAGTTTATGAGTTGAGTTCTCCTTTTTTTCTGGAATGAGTAGGAAGCTTTGACACTATCCAGAGATCCTGAGGGGGCTATCTAGGAAGATTTTTAATTTCCCCTAAAGTGATGTTCTAGATGTGACTCATCATGGCCTCATAGAGCCTCATTTCCTAGTAAGAAAATGACAAGACGCTTTCTCCTTGTTATATTAACATATATTAACATTCCTTTCAGAAGGGATTTTTTTTAGTCATGAAAGAATTTTCAAGATAGCTGCATATGGGTAGAGTCCTAATCTGTCTTTGGAAGTCTATACCCATCTCCAAAATACTGATCACTTGAAAACTTCCAGGAAATACACTGATACTAAATCCCAGGGGTTCCAGGTTTATTTAAAGGGAAAATAATAACCAGACAAAATGCAGACTATAACAACAACAACAAATAATAATAATAATAATAATAATAATGGAATATTATGAATAGCTATAAGGTAATAAAGTCAAACAAACTGAGTACATGGATACATTCCCTTAAAAATACAAATCTTGGTCCTCCCTGGTGGCGCAGCGGGTTAAAGCACAGCTCTAAGAAGCTAAAGCCACTTCAGCATAAGCTTGATCCTGGCCCAGGAGGTGACTCACATGGCGCGGCAGACCTCTCCTGACCTGTCCGCTGCTTCCCTTACAGTGTACTTCGTCAGTCGGTCTGTTCTGCTCCCCACTCTGTCTCTGGTAAATCCTCTCACCGCCCCTGCACCCCAGTTCTGTATGCATGAATAAACAAATCTTTAAAAAAATATAAATCTCAAAATTCACCAATAATAGAACATTTAAACAGACCAAAGCTGTTACAAAAATAAAAAGTAAAATAATCTGAGATTTACCCATTAACAAGTTACCTATGCTAAGCAAAAGCAAACAAGTTTCTTCTCTATTTGTACTCCTTTTTTAAAAAGTCTGTATATAAAACAAGCTTCAGAAATACATTTTATACCATGGATGCTACTAAAGATGTATATATACATATACATACTCATAGGTTCTTAGAGAAAAGTCTGGAATATACACCAATCTGCTAAAAATGGGTTTCTCTAGGTTTATTTCTGCTATTTCAGAAATTCAGCATTATATGCTTTGTTTTTTCAAATTCTTGCAAGTATGTATTTTTTTTTTTCTGGATAAAAACAAAACTTGATGAACTGTAGACTTCATCAAAATTCAAAACAATATTGAAAATAATTAAAAGAATCTAGCTTACCTCTCTCCTCAAATACCAAGGAAAGCTTCCAAATAAGTATAGAGTTGATTAGATTGAAACAAAACATGCTTAGACTTTGGAAACAGAACAGCACAGGCAGCTCTGACCTGCAAGGAACTGTTACACAGGATTTACACTATTGTGTAGGAATTTCCTTCTCAGGCAGAAAGTGATGTATTCAGCTTTCTCTGTTCCACCAATGCCAGTCTCTCTACACTCATTTAGTAACATTTTCTATTGTGCATCATGATCCCAAGTAAATGAGAGATGAGGAATAACGCTCAGCATCTCGAGATATACAGGTCCTCCAATGGCAGCTGTATAAATTGAGGTTGGTTACAGAAAGAACCTGGGAGCAGTGTACTTTTCACTGATATATCTAGACAAAGAATAATCAGCCAAGCAGAGCCTTTCTAAGATAAGCATTCTCTGCCCCAAAGCTGTGTATGGATTACTGGAGAATGCTCCTGTAGTGTCTGAAACAATGATGCTGTGGAGACTAGAAACAGAATGAGATTGACACAAACTATATTTAAGTTACTTAAAATCTGATCAGAAGATTCAATCATTATTCACAAGAACAATATAGGAGATGGGATTCAAATCTGGGAATAATAGACAACTCTTTAATTGTTCCAGAAAAAGAATTCTCCACACATTCCTGTAGAATAAAGTGCATATATCAGCCCACCCCAAGATAAATAGTAGGTGATGCAACTCTTCTTGTGCAAAACTGAAAGTTAGAAGAAACCCAAAATGAAAACAATATGGGAGTTTATAAAAAATGAAGAAATGATCAACATGAAGATTCAGCATTGAAAGAAAGCAAATTCTGCATAGCCATTTAAAATAAATCACAGTACTAAGTGCATTGAATCTAACTCAGACAAGCACTTTAAGGATTATTTAAGTAAATTCCTTTGTCTAACACACATACACAGACACAACTAAAAAACTAGACACATGTTAGTAAAAGCTGAGAGATTTGAGGTAAGAGCATTTTCTAATTTGTAAGCATACAATCACCAATAATGCTGATTAAAAAAATAATCAGGTCAGGAAAAGCAGTGTAATCAGGGATGATAGAAGAGAAATCTGAGACTGACATATGCTGTGACCAATAGTGACGTGATCTTTAGTGTAGGGAAACAAGACAGCTCCCCGGAAGGACTGCAAAGAGCAAATGGGGACAGTCAGTATTTATTCAGTAAATTTTCTTTTATAGCCCTAGAAGCCATCATACTGAATAGCTTCAGCAAGAGGAACATTTTGAACTGAGAAAAAGGTCTTAAACATAAAGTCTGTCAAAAATATTTTACAGTGATTAAACTGGGAAACAAACAAGGGAGATAAATCCTTTACGTTTTAAAGCAATTTTGTAGAAAATAGGAATGTTTTCTAAAATTGCAATATATTACATGCGCTAAGTTGAATGGCAATGTTAGATAAGATCTTCTGCAATTGAAGTATCAAAAATCTGATAGCAAATTTGCTGTTCCGCTCCACTTGTGACATTATATGACTTGATGAAGCATTCCAACCATGGATACGCATCTATAAATAAAAAAGAACATGCTCTTTGACCACCATTAAAATTTAAAAAAAAATTGAAATATGTATTTGAGTACAGTGTTTAGCTAGAAAAATTAACATATTTAGTTTGAAAAGTAAATACTTACCAAATTTAATTTCTGTTCTTTCAAATACATACTGTATTTAGATTATGGCTTTGTACCAATTGTGACTTATTTGACCTTTACCCCATAGTAGAAAAAAGTAATTAACTATGGGGTTTCCAAAACATTCAGTAGCAAAATTAGTTAGACATCTGATTCCCTAAATCCAGTAAGTAGTCCAGTAAAAAGAAGTGAAAAATCATGAATATTCAATTTTTACTTCTTTTTTTTTTCTGCTGGTTCCAAGCATATTGACTTCCTTCCCCTTTATTTAACTGCAAAGAAACTGAACCTGGAATTTGAGTCAGCACAAGCCTCACATCTGTCCAGCTTAAACTCCCATCAGGTAACAGGCAGTGGGTCCAGGCAATGATGGTCGTCATGAATGCTAGGTTCAAGCTTTGGATGTGACCACGGTGAATCTATTTCTAGAATATTTTATTAGTGCTCCTTCAAGTTTGAGTTTGAAAGCACTTACTGTAGAACTCAGTATTAGTGAGGAAGGGTCAAAGATATTGTCACTTTCCTACACTGCGGTTAGCTATAAGTAGGTCAGATATTCTTGAAAAGCAATCTGTCAGTAAGTATCCAAATTCTATTAGTCTATGATTTTGATATGGAGTTTTAGTTCCCATAAGTTTATTCTAAAGAATCTAAACACTCAACAAAATTAAAACTGACATCAAGTAAAAGTTAAACTTTTTTATAGTTATATACAAATTATCTTTTCGGAATAGCTATAAAATATAATGATTGGCCAGTGGAAAATACAAGCTGATTTAAAAATAACCTATGAAAGTTCACTGACAACAGCTGGATCTGCAACTGGTAGAATCTATTGTTGATGAAAACTGTTAAGAAGAGTCAGACAGTCTTAATATGAGTTGTATCTCCAAGTTTCAATGTAAACAGAAATAATGGCCACAAAAGCAAGACTCAGAGATATAATCAATACACTTTGATCTGAGATCTGGTTGCGGAATCAAATGTTATGCAGGAAATATCATAAGTAAATGTAATTATTAAAATAAAAATATAATGAAGTTTACCAATACAATATTGAGTGGAAAATTCATCACCAAATTAGACTAGTTAAATAGAGCTTGTTATAGGAAATGTTTCTTGTCAAAAATCCATCCTAGGTTGTTTAATTTAAACTAAAAGGTTTACATGCATAAACACAGGATTAAATGGCTTATAATTAAACTACTCCCCTAACTGTATTTCAAAATATTTAAAAAAATGTCTAAGGGCCCTCCCTGGTGGTGCAGTGGATTAAAGCACAGCACTAAGAAGCTAAAGCCACTTCAGCATGAGTTCGATCCCTACCCTCCCCGGAGATTATCCACATGGCGTGGATCTCTCCTAACCTGCCCTCCTCAGCAGTGTACTTCATTGATCTGCCTGTTCCGCTCCCCTTTCTGTGTCTGGTGAATTCTCTCATTCCCCTGCATTTCTGGCCTATACCCCAGTTCTGTATGCACATAAATAAATCTTTAAAAAAAAATGTCTAAGGCAAGGAATTATGATTCATACCTATTTTAGCTCAGCCAATCAGAATGCAAATCATATAGTAATCACTTACTACTTAGTCATTTATTTGAATTTAGATTTCATACTTATAAAAGTTGACAGATTAGATACGTGCGAGGTGCTGTTTCAAGAATTGTCAAAATATTATTGCCTACCAATTTTTACTGCTGGGGGACAAAACATATCCATGATCATATCCAAACTTTGCTGGAGGTCATCATTGTACAGAATTTCTGATGCTGGAATCTGGAAGAATTTGTCCTTCAAAAAATTACATTTAAAAAAAAAAGAAAATGGTATTAATCCTTTTTAAAGTCATAATTGAACAAAAATATTTCAATATTACTCACTAAATAATCAAATTATTTCATTTTATCAAGAACACAGAATTCATTAATTTGAATGCAAATCTAAACTCTAAAAGTGGAATTACTACTTTAACAATAACACTGATCCATACACACACACACGCACACACATACACTTGTTCAAGGATCAGTTGCCACATATATGTATATATCAGTGCTGTTATTAAATATTTCTTATAGATTGATATTGTTTACTCAATAAATGGTTAAGTGAAATGTTTAGGTAGGAGAAGAATTCTCTCAACCTTAAATGAGAGGTCTGGCCTTTGTCCTTAACTAATACAAGTAATCTCTATGCATTTAGAAGGTCCTGCCATGTAGGACAGTGTTAGACAGGCTAACAATGTGTTTTATGGTGAAGAGTTTGGAGCATACGTTATGACTACAAAATTAGATTGGCCAAATGGTTAGTCAATCCGAACTACAATAGCTTCCCTGGTTGACGGCACTCCATATGAACTGTTACCCACCACTGCAAGGAAAGTAACTGTTTCCTACTGCAGGAAGAGAGCACAACTGTGTGCTCCACTTAGAAAATTCAAAACTTTCCTAGGTTCTGCTAATGCACTTCTTTTGGTTGATTTAGTAACTACTCATCAGCAGTAATAAACCTTAACAGTGAGTATAATAGCTTTTGATAAGATAGTTGAATCTTTCTGGTAAATATTGAACCAAAACATGGCCTTATGAACTTCTGAATTTTTAATTAGTACTAGAAGTGAGGGTGCTTTAAAAAATCTCCAAACATGGAAGTGTCAGAAATTACAGCAGTTTTTTTTTTTTTCCTCAGCTAACTAGCTATATACAATAATATATAATTATTTCCATAGCAAAGTAATTTGTGGTTTTGGTAATAAGAAATATGGCTTAAAAATATGGCTTAAAAACCTTGGTGAAATGTTGACAAATAATTCTTATATGTTGTTGCTATATCTTTGCCGTTAGTCCTGAAGCAGAACTTTATTAGGCTATAAAGAAAGACTTTTCTTCTCAAATTCTTATTCTTCAATTATCTATTATTGGGATATTGATATTTCTACTGTCAAATCAAGGAATATAAATTACACAGATGGCTTAATTTTATGTGTCTACATTTTTCTATGTTGTCTTAAATGTTCACAGTAATAAAGGTGATAATAAAAATATATTAAAATTCAAAAAAGTATTATATTTTAGTTAGCTTCCGTTACTTACAGAATCCATGAGATATGCTTCCAGTACTCCTGTTCCATCATCAAGAGTAAATGTCATCACAAATACATGCTCCAGGGGTACAATGCCAAGCACTAGTTAAGGAAAAAAAAAGATTAAACTACATGGATCTTCTATGCCTTAAAATAAAAGTAAAGTAAATGTTGTATGATAGTATAGACCTGTTAATTTTGTTTATTATTTTCTAATACCAATGTTAAGATCATTTACCTATATAGGGAAAATAGTTATAAGTAGCTTTTTTAAAGTTAGTGTATTTTTAAAATAAATTGACACTTCAATAAAAACAATACTGAATCATGAAATGAAGCTCACTGCATCTGACATTATAAAAAGTAAATTTATAATACCGAAATGTTCCAAAAAAACAAAAAAGAACAATCTTTAAGATTTTGTAACAATGTCTCTCCTCTTTCTATTATAAGCATGTGGATCATTTCTTTTTAAGATCTATCCTCTGACTAAATGGACAAAAATGTCAAAGTTGGGATTTCACAATTTGGTAAGATGAGGATAAAAGAAAAATTTAAAGAGATACTAAGTCAAGTGAAAGTTTATAAGTTAATATAAGCAGCGTCCATTAATTTGGAAGTGTAAGTGAGGATTGAATACAAAAATTCCATGTGTGTAATCCATCTTTAAGTGAACTAATTGCAGGGGCACATAAGAAGAATTAGATTGTATAAAAATGAATTAGGGCACAAAGATATAACAAAAATTGTTATCATAAAGGAGTTGATTGTCAGGGCTCACATGGTCTCATTAAGTTATAACAGTGACCTATAACCAAGAAGGATGAATGTTTTTTATAAAACCTATTTTGAGGGACTACACAAAGAAATGCATTAAGAATTGGTGAGGGAGAACAGGTTTAACAGCAAAAACTCATGTGAAAATAACAAAATATGAGCTGGCAGTATCAAACAGTTGGACTAACAAAACCAAGTATATAAATAAATAGTATAATCAAATTTCATATTAGTAGGTCCAGAATGTCAAATTTTGGATAGTTTTTCTCTATATTTTGAATTGGTCAAACTACATCTGTAGTCCTAACTTCAGTTTTGAATGCCAAATTTTAAGAAGTGCATTGGAAATGAATCTTAATAGAGGAGAAACAAAACAGTAAAGAATGTGGAAAAGTACCAGAGAAAGTGAAAAAAATACACATGAATGAAGGTTTGGCAGATATCTTCAAATCTACAAAGTCTGTTATTTTATAGAAGAAGGAACAGATTACTCTGATTCTAGGAAACAGAATGTGGCCTATGTAAAAAAAGAAATATAGGTAGGCAGATTTGCTTCACTATTAAGAATTACCTAAAAGTGAAGGTGATTTGTTGCTTTAAAATATAATATATGCCTTGTTACTGAAAGAGCTTTAAGTCAAAGTGGGAAGACCATAGTTTATAATGTGAGCTAAAACGGTCCTTTTGATTTTCAAGTAATAAAACAAGGTTCTTGTTTCAGCTAAAGGATTCTACTGGGTAGAGTTGAATAGGTATCTCCGAAACTGCTTTCAATCCCAAGATAATATGAAATGCTGAGACTTTTCAGACTCTGTATTTACAATTGATGATTAATACTAAAATTATGGATGATTAAATGTAATGACTAAAACATAAAGATGGACTCTAAAGTTAATTTTCGAGTTTCACTTTATATTTCCACTGCAATCACAGTGGATAGTTTTGTTTAAGAAAAATTAAGCTTTAAGCCAGGATTTGAACTGGCTGAAATACATCAACTAATTTTGAAATGTAATCTGTGAGATCACTTTTTATAAAAACAGTTAACATTGCAGAGCATAGAAACTGATCTAACCTTCTGCCACAGAAGAAGGACTCCATGATACTTTATCAACCAAAGAATCTAGATTTTGTATTGGTCTCAAATTAGAACACTGTTTACATCTAAAATAAATAACAGAGAAAAACAATTACAATTTTATTGTGATTAGTTTCTTATTACAACCCATTTGATTATAACTCTTTTTGCTAATTAACCATACATAGTTTAAATAATGAATTATCAAGCAAAAGAGACTGAAGTTTTCATATTATGTGCATATTACAAATGTAATTATATTAAACATAAACCTATCCAATCTATTAAAATCACATATTACTTAGTATAGTATTTTTATTTATAATATGTACAAATACATTGTAAGCAATGCAATTTATATATTGCAAGCATCATAATATTTAAGAGATGTTGAAAAGAAAATATAGAGTGTGGTGGGTATATAATAACATACATAAATTCAAAGAGGTGTGAATTTATAACTCTGCATCATATACAGTGTTGTATACCGGTGCTGTATAACTCAATACAAAGGATAATACAATTGAAAAGAATAGTGCATAGTGTAAAACAGCACAAAAGACAGAAATGAAAAGTAAATATGTCTGTATTAAAAAAAAAACAACTTGTTAACAAAACAACTAAAATCTAGTCACATGTATTTGATATAAAATATAAAAACAAAAAAACATGAAAGCAAAGGTATAACTGGTAATTATCGACCTTCGCCTCCAAAAAAAGAGTAATTCCAATACAACAATAAAAATAGGAGATGAGAATAACATTAGGGCAAAAAATTATAATTAGGTGAAGTCATTATGTAAAAATATGCAGAACAATTAATTTATCTAGAAGATAAAACACTGAACCTGAATAAACTACTGGGAGTCTCATATACATAAAGCTAACTTGACAAAGTATAATGTCACAGACTCACAATCACAGAGGATATTAAGCATTCTATAAGAAGTAATTATACCAACATATTTGCAAAAGAAAAAAGTTTTGAATGTACTTAACAATTTCATCTAATGGTCATAAGTAAATGGTATTTAACACCATTAAAAATGAAGAATAATGCTGGTTGTGATCTATGGAACTGGTAACAAAGAAAATATGCAAAGAACTTTCTAAAGGACTTCAATTAGCATTATGCACTATTGTAAGTGAAATAAGTGGAAGGAACATACATCCATTAATAGAAAAATGGGTTAGTAAATAATCATATTCTTTAAATACTTTATAGACATTAGAATGAATACTAAATCTATAAAGTGTATAGATTTTTAGATATGATATATAAAGGTACATTAATAAAACTTGAAAATAATATTGAGGAAAAAAAGCAAGTTGCAAATAACAGGCCTATATAGTGTGAAATACATTTTTATTAAAGATTTATTTATTTATGCATAAAGAACTGGGTACAAGCCAGAGATGTGCAGGGGCAGTGAGGATTCACCAGAGACAGTGGGAAGCAGAACAGGCAGATCAATGAAATACATTACTCAGGGGAGCAGTGGGCAAGATAGAGAGATCTGCTGCACCATGTGGATCACCTCCAGGGCAGGGGATCAAATTCGCATTGAAGCAGCTGCGCTAGCTTGCAGAGCTAAGCTTTAACCCGCTGTGCCACCAGGGAGAGCCTATAGTGTATACTATTTTACATAAACTTTGAAAATGCAAACGAATATTCATTATGCTCACACATATAGCAAGAGCATAGAAACACTTATTTAGAAAGACTGACTCAAAGTTTGAGAAGTGCTTATGTCCAAGAAGGTGGGGGACTTCTATAGGGAGAGTTTCTTCTATATGTAAAAGGAAGGTACATAAAGATACTTTAATATCCACAATGTAATTTTTGACATTTTTCTATATTTAAAATATCCTTATGTCCTTATAGGCATATTTTAGGCAAACATATACAAATGTTTCCATAGATGTATGTAAAAAAATTTATACTTAATGGTCGATCAATGAATATCTAGTGTAGATATACCATTATATCAAAACAATAAAAAAACTTACGCAGTTTTTAATTCTAAAATTTTCCAGAACTGAAGACATACCCATAGTGACGTAGATTTCCTTGTACAAGGAATGGTGCTGACAGGTCTAAGAGTTCCAGTTTTTCGTGTCCGGATTTCACAGGAATCACACTATGAAACTGATTTGAGAGCTTGCAGACTTCACTGAGTGTACCACCTGTTGAAGGAGAATACACACACACTTCAAGCAGTACAAGCTTAGTGTAGACAAAACGGGGAATCCATGAAGTAACATGAAGAGCAGTAAAAGACTAAGAGGATTTACAGAAAAGTCAATGCAAACCATGAATTTAGAGATTTAATATGTTCATAGTGAAAATATAACTTGTAAACAGCGTTGTATATGTTGATTAAAGAGACCCACTGTGTGTGAAAAAATGCTGAGAATATAACAAAATCTTAAACTTTTGAAATTTTAACCATCTTCCTAAATTTAATCACATTTGCCCAAAACACTGATTCAAATAATGAAAAGATAATAAAATCGAGAGTCACACAGTGACTGAATTTGATTATTAAATTTGGTCTACCTACTAGTACCTAGGAAAATTTCATTTTGACTTTAAATCTTTAAACTTTCAGTTTAATATCAAATTTAGTAGCACAACCAAGAATAGTTCATGTAGTATGAATTCATATATAGTGTTGGTTCATTTTTCCTAAGAAAAGCTTCACTTTCCCCTGATTCTATGACAGACAGGCATTATATTGTACCTGGACATTCTTGACTCCTAAAAGAATAACTGTGCAAACACTGCTTTCTTTGGTTCATCTTTCTATAATTCCAATTCAACTCCTGATAGTATAATAAGTTCCAAAATGGAGTAAGATCATATTGCCTGTAAATTCTAGCCAATGGCTAGCGTTTGTATACTCAGAAATATGATGAGATAAAAACAGCTTATACTTTCTGAAGTCCTTTTAAATTTAAAAATGGCTTCATAGACACTTAAAAAGCTCTGTAATTTGAAGCTCTATTACTGTGGGCATATTTATTTATTTAATAAGTAGTTACAAAGAACAAGTTACAAGTTTGGTATACTGCTACTGGTGCTGAAGATACATTGATTAAAATAACCTGGTATTCTGTCCTCAGAGAATTTACTGTTTAATACTGAAACAAAACTATAAATAGAAACAACAAAATAAAAGAAGTAGAAACTGATAGAATCATGTTTTATTTTATTCTTAGGGTATGCAAACAGTCCTGCTCTATTTCTGTGTGTATATATATATATATATATATATATATATATATATATA